CAGTGTCCTGCAGTTGTGCGATCCTCTTTTGCAATTTTCTGACAAGCAAAGTCAATGGGGAAGGCCAGATTCACTTAACAACCGTGTTACTAATTTAACAACTGCAGTGATTCACTAAACAACCGTGGCAAGAAAGGTCACTTAACAACTGTCTCCCTTAGCAACATAAATTCTGGGCTCAATTGTGGTCTTAAGCTGAGAACTACCTGTAGTGAATCACATTTTTACTACCGTATTTCCCCCAAAATAAGACCTTGTCTTATATTTTTTGAACCCCAAAATAAGTGCTTGGCCTTATTTTCAGGGAGATCTTATTATTTTGGGGCACATGGAGCAAGATGGGGCTCCTCTTGCTATCTTACCTGATTTCCAGCTCTGTGTTTAAATATTTTCAGGAAGGGCTTATTTTCAGGGGAAGGTTTATTTCAGTGCATGCGCTCAAAAGCCCGATTGGGCTTATTATCAGGGGATGTCTTATTTTTGGGGAAACAGGGTATTATGCAAAAAGAACCACCTGAATCTTGTTGCTAGTATCAAAACTGTCTTAGAAAGCCTGGTGTGAAAAGGTAGTAAAGAGAAGCCAGCTTGTTCAAATAACTTCATGCAAGGTTTGACAGTGCTTACAGTTCCTAATGCCCCTTAAGTCTTTCACTTTTCTTCTCCCTTCCTCCTTCCTCCTCCTATGTGTCATCTCTGCTTTCATTACCTCCCAACTATGAAACACAAATCTGAATCAAATGTAGATTTCCAAAAGTACTGTCATCTGGTTCCCAATTCTTGTCAAGTCAATATTATTATTTATACCCAGTGCATTACAAAGCAATTTAGGTGATCTGGGCCACTGCTATTGGCAGCTTCGGATAAGCTTAGGCGCTAGAAAGGATTACATTTTAAATTCCACATTCACTATTCCTTGGCAGAAATTCAAAGGCTCAAAGTGACTTTGATTTGTACAGAAACAGAGTACAGTTCATCCCCCGGCTAAGTTTTAGCAATTCTCCTCTTCCTCACATCTCACCAGTCCTGCTCTACATTTTATTTGATGTCAATGTAAGGGTGAAAAGTCTCCCCGTTGGCGAAAGAAAACTACTCAAATTCTTTCTATTAAATTCAGGTAGGCCAGAATATTAATTTGTATTTCAAATGCCTCATTTCAATTTTATATTCTGTGAAAAGGCAGACCTCTTTAAAAAGTTCTGCTCCTGTCATTCATATAGAAAGAAAACGTATAACAAGCTAATATTAGCTCAAAACATATTATCCTAAATTAGATTAATGCCAAACGAATGAATAACAGCTAAAATTCAAATAGAATGCAACAAATCAAATTATTCACATGATCTATATACACTGTGAAGATTTCTTCTCACAAATTATTGCACTTATCTTGTGTTATTTATTTAGCCTACCTAATCGGTATATGTGCAATTCTATCTTAATAAGTATGGCATTACAAAATTATCAGCAGCTAAGTATTTTGCACCATATACCACTTTATTAATCCTTGTTCCAAAGCCAGACTTGGGGAAATGAAGCCATTTATTTCTAAGAAACGGATTATGCAACTGCAAAGCTGGGGGCAAAAACATTTCCTTCTGAACCTCTTATGAAAGTTTTATGCAAATAATAATCACTTTGGGATTATGTAATTTCTCCTCAGTAGCTAAACTACTTCAAGTACGTATCTTAAAAGTTGCTCCCAACCAGAAAGTGCACTGAGTTAGGAAACAGAAAAGCAGAAATAGATTCAAGGAAACCATATCTTCTTTTCTGAGAATGAAAGACAGAAATCTAATAAATATCTTTGATAAAGAAACCAAGCATGGATCTTTTAAGGTGCCTGTTATCATCTGGATCCTGAAAGAAATCCCTAAGTAGGTCAGAAGTATGCAAATGTTCTTGAGCTGAGGGCTACATCATGCTGGAAGCTGCACTAGAAAAGAGGGTGTAGCCACACAAAATGCTTTAAGGGTGACAGAAACAAAGATGCAATTGATCGTTAATGTTTTTGCAATTAGCTGTTGAACTACTATTTTTCACCTACCTTAAACTCAAGAGCAACTTTCTCCCTTTGAGATAAAGACCTTGGAGATGACCTTGAGGAAATATTCATAAGACATTACAAAAAAAAAAGCATTCCTTGAACCCTGGGAAAGGAGACAGAATTAGGAAGAGACTTCTACAATAGTCTCTTACTCCTCCTACAATATTCCTCCTTAGGCCGGTTCCTCCCTGACTCAATGCAGGTGTGAGGAGAGGAGGAAAGTCACAATCAGATTTGCATGATTCTGTTGTGCCTATCTCAAAAAACACACACACACACACACAACCACTAACTTAGTACTAGTCTTCTTGTGGAGTTTGTTTCTTGATCCAGACAACCTTGAAAGATTGACATTACATGAATTACCAGGTTAACAATAAATAAATGTGAGCAAAATAAGTGAACACACATCAAAGTGATAGAATGAGGCAGAGGATGTTGATTTGTTACTGGTGGTCAACAGTATCTGGACAGATGGGTTCTACAACTGAATCTCTAGCGGTGCCCATGGTCCTCAGATTACAGGTTGCACTCTTTTGAGATAAGGTGACAGCCAGAGCCCTTGTGCCATCACAATATCTAAGTATCATTTTCCAGCCACAAGTAATATGGAAGTCATCCTTGCATAACATCATGACTTGTGGGGTATCTTTAGAACTACTGGGAATAAGACTATATAATGTCTACTGTTACCACAAGTTTCTCTTATCATTACAACAATTCTTGTGCTTTTTCCTTACCTAAGTACAGTAGCAACCATGAGCAATACTGTTATTCTGGTGTTTATGGTGTAACAGGGCCCCAAGATCAGCGCTCAAGTCTATAATATATTATCTTACTGGTCTCTTCTTTCATTGACATAAACTTTCCACAATCAGCAGATTTCTCTTAAAGAAGTCAGGACACATCTTATATCATGAGACCAAGCTTTCTTGCTGACTAAGCAATGGTATTACCTTTCAAAACTACAAAACGGTGATTCATGCAGTTCCAAACTTTTTGCATTGCAAGAGTCCAGGTGCAATTAAGCTCCAAGGAGAGAAAATTCTATCTTTTCATCTAACAAGAGCAACTTAATATTTAATAAGTGGTGCCACCCTTATGGGCAGACTATTTCTGTAAATCTCAAAGAAAAGTAATTCAGAGACTTTATAGACCATCTACCTAATCATAATCACAATATCTCAATTAAACATAAAATCTTAAGACAAATTACCAATTTGTCGATATACCTGCACCAACACATTCGGTCCAAGATGTTTACACAATTCTGCCAACCAACAAATAATTATGTTGTTGCTTCAAAAATTAACCCGCTTCCTCCAACACGCAATCAATATAACACCCCAATTAAGTAGAACTAAGTAGCAGATCTACAAAATGCAGAAATTTACCTTTGGAGAAGGGAGAGATCACATTTGCTTTTCAATGCAGCCTAATTTGCTTTTCAATGCAGTCTAATGAGATTATACCCCTGATGCAATCAAGAATTCTTCTTTGCTGGAAAGCAGGGGTGATATTTGCCTTCATCTAAATCACACAGCACTGACTGACTAACTTAACTCTGTATTTCCATAGGTACATCTTAAGGAAATCCTTTTTGCATTTTCTGATTGATGGAGATTGCAATCTGAGCCCAAGTATTTAATAAGTTTTACAAGTATTGTTGCTCATAGAATAATGTTTGCTGGATACCTTAACAAAACTTAACATGAGCTCAACTAAACTTAACATGAGTGTTATCCAATTTGTAATCATAGAGTAAATTAGATGAAAGATACTTTTTAAAGTTTCAAAAAGCAACAATATGCACATTTAAATGCAATTCCTTGTCAATCACTGGGGCACAACCCAGAAAAATGTGGATACTATTGCAATCTAAATGGGTTGGTTGACTAAGGATATTTGCCAGAGTCAAGGAAAATTATTCATATACGAGTAGTCCTTGACTTACAATCACAATTAAGGTCAACATTTCCAGTGCTAAGCAAGACAGTTGTTCAGTGATTTTGCCCCATTTTACAACCTTTTTGCCACAGTTAAGTGAACCATGCAATCATTAAGCAAATCTGGCTTCCCCACTGACTTTGCGTGTTGGAAGCCAGCTGCAACAGTTACAAATAGTGATCACATGACCCAAGAACAATGCAACTGTCATAAATACATGCCAATTGCCAAGCATCTGAATTTTGATGATGTGACTATGAGGATGCTGCAATGGACTTAAGTAGAAAAACTGGTCATAAGTAATTTTCAGTGTCATTGTAACTTTGAATGGTCACTAAATGAATGGTGGTAAGTCAAGGACTACAGGTATATAAATCCTGGAAGAGTTTGCTCAATGACTTGTAGAAGGAGCCGAGTGACTGAATGGGCGCAGGCAACCGTTAAGATCATACATGAATATATTCTTACAGGGAATATTATAGACCAGTGTTTCTTAATCTCGGCAACTTTAAGATGCATGGACTTCAACTCCCAGAGTTCCCCAGCCTGCATGATGGCTGGGGAAATCTGAGCGTGTTGGAAGTCCACACAGTTGAAAAACACTGCTATAGGTTATCCTCAACGTTTGGCCTGGGATCTAGAACAGAAAATAACATCCAAACATTTAATTGCAAAACCCGGTTCAGTTCTAACTAAAGACTTCATTATAGCAAAAGTCACCTTAGCCAGCGCCAATCCAAAACTACCTGCTCCAACCCACCCTCAAAGTGCACATTCATCACACACACAACCTGAGTTTCAACAGGGATTTGGTTCAAAGGAAGACTGAAATGCACGCACTGCAATTTTCTAACGCCAAGAAGAAGCAACCGGGTCCCCTTCCAGATGTTTTAGGTTTCGCCTCCCATCAGCCCTAGCCAGCCCGAGGAGCGACAAAGGCTGCTGGGAATTGTGGTTCCAAAAAAACCCGAGCTCGCTTTCCCCTTGTGCTTAAAGAGTGCAACCAGCCCGCGTGCAAAGTGCCAGCCAGCCAGCCAGCAGCGGCGGCGGCTTAACCTCCAGCCGCGGCAGAGATTCGCCGAGCGCCGCCGCTGCATGCAGCACTTGTTGCAATTCTGGCCGCTCCTGCCGAGGAAAGCAAAACGAGGAGCAACTGGTTCCCTTTCGAAACTCGCCCTAGGCCGCCTTTTGCCATCGCCCAGCCTGCAATAACGGTAAAGCCAAGGAAGGGCGGATGCACGTGGAGCCCGTCCCAAAGGCCCCTTCGGGGGGAGGGGGGGCGGGTGGAAGGGGAAGGAAGAAGCCAACCCCGCACGGCAGCGGAGCTTTCTCCCGGTTGCACAAATCCCCGCCTGAACGCTCCCCGCTTCATCCATCCCCACCCGGGCCGGCGCTTCTCGAGTGAACCCCTCGGCGGGGATTCAGCTCCCTTTCCACGCCGGGATCCGGGGCAGCTCTCCGAGGTTTCCTACCTTGGGATACTTTGCCCGCCCAAAGGACGGCGGGCTGCAAAGTAGACGGGAGACGGGAGATGCGCTGCTCCGACCCGGCTTTCCCCCCCACCCTCCACCTTTTCCTTCCCCGCGAGGAAGATCCGAAGCCCGGAGCATCCGCCCTGGCGATCAACAGCTGCACGGCCATCCTCCCCACCCCCGGCTCTCCCTTCCCCTTCCCGGGAGGCCCACCTGGCCTTGGCTGGCTCCTGCGCGAAGGGCTCGTGGGCAGGATCCGCGCTTCACCTTCCTCGCGTCCTCGGGCAACTTCAGGCAGCGAGCGATGGATCCCGGCAAGAGCGAAGGAGGAGAAGGAAGGAAGAGGCAGCGGCTCAGTCACGCTGTAGAGGCCGGCGGGGAAGGAGGGCCAGGGGCGGGTCTTAAGCGGCGGCGGCGGGCTCCTCCGGCACCGCTCGTGGAGAGGAAGAAGGGGAAGGCGAGGAGAGCGCGAGCTCCGCTAAATTGTGGGCTGACGGTGACGTAGCGAGGGCGGCTGGAGGCAAAATGGGAAGGGATCTATAGGAAAGGGGGGGGGACTTATGACGTCACGGCGATGTGGCGCTAGGAGGAGAGAGGGGGTACTTGAAAGACAATGGAAAGTCCCGGGAGAAAGGAAAGATCAAAGGGGAGGAAAAAAAAAAAACCCTTATGCATGGTTTGCAAGCGGTGCCCTACAATGCTTTCGGGGCGGGGTAGGTGGAGGGGGGGTAGGAGGAGCTCACGAAGTTCACAGGACTTGCTCCGAAGTCAAAGCCGTCGTCTTTGCTTCGGTTTAGAGTTGTTTCAACGCCCTCGCAGCTGTTCTTAAAACGATTGCACCCTTGTCCTTAAAAGACGGTAGGGTTAAGAGCGGAGGGTCATTTGGTCGGCGCTTGCGACTGCAAAGCCGGCAGTTTTGGCGAACGCGGTTTTAGGAAAGTCTAGGGAGATTCTCAAGTCATCCAGGTCACCGTTGTCCCAAAGGTGCTTTCTGACATCCAAAACCAGAAAAGTCCAAAGAGTCATTTGGACTTTCTGGTTTTGGATGATTCTCATCCAAATTTGGATGAGAAGCGAAATTTCTTCAAAAAATTTCTTCAATTTCTTCAAAAAAAACCCAGAAAGTCCAGGTGCCTCTTGGAAGAAAAAAAAAAACCCACATTTGGGGCAGTCTAGAAAGATTTTAGTGGCAAGGACGTCGGCTGCTCGCACACACGGAATAAAGCGATGCGTGCATCTGATCTGACCCTAACTTAGGTTTCGGGGCGCGCCGAAATCGGTACCAGCAATTGCACGTCTTGCATGGGGTAGGCTACGTTCATACGAACCCCTAGCAATCGCTTAGGAATCGCTATAATAGGCTTGCTCTACGTGCCAAGCCAATTTACCGCTAACCTTGCTTTTTTTTTTTTTTTTTTTGGCACCTGGTGTGACTCCGGCCCGTTGGCCTAACTTGTGAATCGATGCGCCGTGTAAATCCCCCCCCCTCCCCAAAAGGATGAAGCAAATGGGTGGAGTGCGTTGCGTGAATGCAGCTCGAGGTGGCAAAGAGGTGTCGTGCAAAAAAAAAAAAAAAAAGCCCAGCGCGGGAAACTTAGCCGGCTGCAAAAAGGGACTTGGTCTGAGTGCACCAAATGTCTGCCAGCCGCTTAAAAAAAAAAAAAAAAGTGGGAGGATCGAAGGGAGGACAGAATTGCACCGTATTGGAAGAAAGACGTGTGCAAGGACGTGAATGCTTGCAAAGTGATGTGCGACGTGAAGCCCAGCGAACGGAACGGAACGGAATAGAATAGGACCTTGGAGGTCTTCTAGTCCAGCCTCCTGCTCAAGCAGGAGAACCTATACTATTTCAGATAAGCGGCTGTCTAGTTTCTTTTTAAAAGCCTCCAGTGATGGAGCGCCCACGATTTCTAAAGGCAAGCTATTCCACTGGTTAATTGTCCTCGCTGTTAGGACAAACAGCGAACTCCCTCGCCCTCGCGTTCAAAGCATCATCCAAGGAGATCATGGGCGGATCCTGCCCGAATCGCCCTCCAAGCTGAAACCTCTCTCTCTTCATTCTCTCTCTACCCGGCTCGAGGGCGGATCCCTCACAGCTCCGCTTCCCTTCGGCAAAGCGCAGCCCGCGGGTCACCCCATTTGCCCGGCAGCGGACGTGGCCAATCGGAGGGGGGCGGCGGAAGGGGGCGGAGCCTCGAGCCTTGAGGAGGCGGGCCTTTCGCCTGCTTTGACCGAACAACCTCGGACGAGGGGTTTGACGCGCTGGAAGCCGGCGAGAGGATGAGGTGACTTCGGCCGGTGCCTCGCCTGTTTCTTTTTTATTGGCGTCGACCGAAGGACTATAACCCGCTTCTCCCCCGTGTTAACGCCAAGGGGGAAACCTTAGAAGGCATTTTAAAAAAAAAACATACCTTCCTGGAGTGTTTCTGTAGTGCTCATAGACGCTTGCAGGAAAAAGGTCTCTCTTTAAAATACTGGAAAAATCTTTTCAGTCGACATTATTCGGGCAGGATAACGAGAGATTCGGTGAAAGGGAGTGTTAGGGTCAAAGTCAATATGGGTGCTGGACTAGCATGGGGAAAACCCAGGTTCACCGTCCCTCCTTTGGTATGGAAGTTGTTGGATGATTGGTTGGATCAATTACCCTCACAGGGTGTCTATGGAGATTCTCAGTCATCCAGGTCATGGTTGTCCCAAAGGTGCTTTTTTTCAAATGGCAACTGGACTTTCTGGTTTTTCTTTGAAGACCTTTCGCTTCCCATCCAAGAATCCAGTCCACCGTGCAGTCAGAGCTGAAGAAGCTTCTTGGATGAGAAACGAAAGGTCTTCAAAGAAAAAAACAGAAAGTCCACTTGCCTCTTGAAAAAGCAAACCTCACGGGGTGTTTGTGGGAAAGGAATGGATCTATGCACTTTGTGTCTTGAGTTTCTAAATGAAAGGTAAGACAGAAATGTAATAAGCCAGTTTGGTGTAGTGGTGAAGGTGCCAGCCTAGAAATCAAGAGGTGATGGTGAGTTCTAGTCCCACCTTAGGCATGAAAGTCAGCTGGTGACAATGGGTCAATCACCAGGGGACTGGGAGTTCTAGTCCCACCTTAAGGCATGAAAGCCAACTGGGTGACAATGGGTCAATCACCAGGGGACTGGGAGTTCTAGTCCCATCTTAGGCAAGAGAGCCAGCTGTATGACTCTAGGTCAACCACTCGTAGTCCAACCCACCTCACAAGGTTATTGTTGGGGAAAGAGGAGGAGGAAGGAGTATTATGTATATTCACTACTTTGAGTTGCTTGTAATCTTACAAAAATCAAATAAATAGGGTTGTGAACAGTATTACACTTCTGGCTACAAACTGGTATGGGGTGGGGCTGGGGGCTGGAAGAGTGTCATACAACCTTGGGTGTGGTTGGTGACTTGAGGGCTCTCCCCATCTCCTTTTTTGATTCTTGTGATTTATAACTTTTTAAACTTGTTTTAATTCTCTTTTCAACATTGTTTTTTACTATGTTTCTTTGGTTTTTATTTGTAAACCACCCGGAGTCATTCAGATGAAAAGAGCAATTTACAAGTTTGATAAATAAGTACTAAAATGGAAGTAGTTTCATATAATGCAAGAAACCATAGTTTATACTGGTGTTGGTTTGTTGAAAACATCATAGTCAAGTTGAGATAATAATCTCAGCCAGGACTGAGCAACTTAAGATATCAAGCTTGGATGCACCACCCCAGACCAATTTCTAGTGACCACAGGAAAGTGAGAAGGGTAATTTAAATCTTTTCAGGAGGTTAACTTACTTTATTTAAAGATATGCCACCACAAGTAATCTGTTGTCCAGTTTCAAGGTATACAGAAAATCCTGGCTTTGTCCACGTAAATCACTTTCCCCTCTTCAGCTCTCCTGCTCCCCAACAATGGTTCTGAGTCCCCCAGCCAGCCAAATATTGTCTACCCAGCTATAAGTCCGTAGTTTACAAACCAGAATAGCTAGGTTAGCATGGCAAGTCAGACACAAAGGCACCATTCTAGGACTTAGAATAATGTATAAACTTGGACGGCCAATGTTATTTTTTCATCTCCCATTACAGACTGTGGGCAGATGCAATAAATGTGCATTATCATATTGCCTTGGTAGCTCATATATCAAAAGAAGTCTCACTGTCTAATTTGACACTCCATGTACTCGTGTGTCAGGAAACATCCTCACTAGAGCATACAAGGACTATGCCCTCTGTTTGAAAGTACTTTTTCAAATTATTATTGGGTTTTTTTAAAACTAGGACTTTCCAAAACCGCTTTTGCGACTGGACATACTGGTAGTGCTCCACTTAACTTTTCAACAAAGTGACCATCTCCTTGGAGAATTGAAATTAGCTGAACCAAAGGTGCTTTTCAAAAGGCAACTGGACTTAGTTTTTCCTTGAAGATGTTTTGCTTCTCATCCAAGAAGCTTCTTCAATTTTGACTTTTGAAAAAGCACCTTTGGAACAACCATGACCTGGATGACTGAAAATCTCCACAGAAATTAGCTGAGGTAGAAAAGCAGATGGTAGAAGAAGTGTCACTGACTTGCTTTAGGATAAATGGATGTTTCCATAAAAAGCCATTATGGAAACCATTTTGTTGGCATCCATAACAGACTCTCAAACCTCCAAGCCATAATATAATTTGGTTTTAGTCAAACCTGGAGAATGGTTTAGCATGATATTTGAATCAGATGATTATGATTTGTTCAGCTAATCATTGTTTAAATAAATCATTGGTTTAGCATAAGATAAAGGTAATGTACATGCTTGCCTCCATGAACAGAAGAGTTCTGGAACGGTTGTGCAAATACAATATATTGTGACTTTTTCCTGATTGAAATAAAATCTGAAAGTCAAAGTCCTCTCCTTCGGATTGTTTACAAAACAACAAATGGAGACTGTACAAAGGGCCTGACAAAAGTGGTTTATAGAAAGTCACTGTTGAGACTCTCATTCCATTCATAAATGAAGCTCTAACAGTACAGTTCAAAAGTTATTCCTGATTCTAAATTGAATGTAGGTGGAAAGAATTCTTAGGTTATTCTTAAGATTAATGGTGGAATGTTGAGGACATGCTGACTCTTGTACCTGTGATTTGATACATTTTTAGGACTTTGTAGGTTAGTCTTCAGTTACGCATGGAGGTAAAAGAAAGTCATGGAGTGCAGATGCTCAGATTTCTACTTTCATCCTTTGGTTGAGGCCTCTTAGAAATCATCGCAAACCCCTATGTTATGTACACCTGATCCATATCACATGCTAAGCTATTCTATGATTTGACTGGTTTCTTTACTTATGTATTTGATTATATTTTTATAACTTGCTTCAGTCTGGATGGTATTCAACAATATATATATATTGGAAAGCAGAAAAAATTCCTACAAAGGGAGAGTTAATTAAGAAAATATTAGAATGTGCAGAAATGAGTAGATTAACATTAGCAATAAGAGGGAAGGAAGAATCGGAGTATTACAACATATGGGGGCAATTTTATCAATGGATAGAGATTGAATATAAACAATAGACAATGTAAAAATAAGAAACATGGGAAAAATATGTTGTAATACATTAAGTTTAAATGTAAGAAGGAAGATAAATATGTACTAAGAAAATGATGATAAATGTTGAATATGATGACACAAAATTTTTGGTACCCAAATGTTACACTGATTGATTAATGATGAATTGTTTGTTTCAAAATAAAAATAAAAACCTTAAAAAAAGAAAGAAACCAAAAGTAAACTCAAGACCCCAAGCAGTCATGTGGGGCCAAAGATTTGTTAAGATAAAACTGCTTTAAGATGTTTCTCAAGTATCCATAATGTAGGGATGTACTGTATAAACTGTATATAGCAGATGGGGTTTGCAGAAGCACAAAGACAGTGCTGTGTTTTTAAAAGATACACAGTGTTGCAGCACTCGAACCTAAGAAGGTTTGAGAAGGCTGCTCATCCTTCACATTTATGTATAATTTTATATTTAAAAAAATAGAACTGTATATTGCAAGCCTGCTCGTTTGTTTGTTCCAAAAAGTTAGTTCAATTTTCAAATTCTGGTATGTCTCAGACAAATAATAGTTCAGTTCTTCCTCCCTCCCTCTAAATTGGTTAAAACAAAAGCAGAAGTCCTTAAAGTAACTGGATGAAGCACATGTTCTTATTCTCACACTGAGGCCATGAACACAGTATGACAAATAAATGTGTCTTGAAAACGTCATAGGGCTCTGTGATCATAGTAAATGAAATGACCTTTGAGCAAAATTGGGTTTTGTGCAATATTTTGTTTGAACCTCTGGCTACCTCAACCTGTGACTTTTCTGGTGGCTTGCAACACTCAACAAATCGCAGGACTCAACAAATCATCAGCTCTTCCCAGAGTTGGCTATACTGGCCAGAGGTGGTGCAGGTTTCAGTCTGATTCACATGGTCTCTGCTAAGCTGAGAAACACTGCTATAATAATAGTTCTAAATCACTGTTTCCCCTGTCAGCAATTTTTAAGTTCTGTAAAGTTCTGCATCTCCCAAAATTCTCAGCTACCATTTGTACAGATATAAAGAGCAATAATGTCACAGTGGCCCTAATAGAACTGTCAAAATGCTTTAGGAGCAAAGCCAAAGCCCAACTCCACAATTAAATTGTGTCAGTTTTTCTTATATCTTCTGAAGGGACATGGCTTCCCCAAAGAAAACTGGTTTTGTGTCAGAATTTTTGGCTGGAGATCATTTTGTTTCTGTTGTGGGGAGAAGGAAATATTGCTAGACCACATTATAGATTAATGGAGAGGATTTATTCTAATTCAACCTTTTCCAGTTGGATATATACTGTATTTAGCTCAGGTTGGACTGTAAGAGTCCTTATCTCTATAGACAATTTCACCTTAGGCTACCTGTGGACTCCACCTGACCCGCAAGTCCCAGTCTGAAATAATAAATCTTCCTAAAACATACTGCAAATACTTCCTTTGGTATGGTCTGCCCCTCTCAACCTCCTCTGACCATTTCTGAATATCGAGTCATTATTAGATCTTTGATAAAATGGCCTATTACATGCTGTTCAACTTCGACCTTCCTCCCCCCCCTTCCTAAGAAGGCATTTGGAAAACAGTGAGATTGCATTTTTGAACAAAGCATACAAACTTTTGAGAACAAGAACAATTATTCTCCCTGTGCCAATATCATAGCTGAAGGCACAGCACACACACACACAAAAGAAAAAGACAGCACAGCATTTCTGAAACTAACAAAGAAGTCCTTGGGTATTTAAGGGCTGCATATTTTTCTTTCTTAAAATGTCAGTTATTCACCCTTCTACCTGGTGGAGTTTTCCTGACGACATTAACTCACCTACTGGGATGCCACATGGTGAGCATTTGTTAGTCATTCTCAGCCATTAGTGTGGCTGTTCAGTTGTGCTGCCTCCTCCATTCAGCCCTTATAGAGCTTAGCTTCCTTAGTGATCCTTTGTTGAACCCAACTTTTCCTATGATATAGAAAGAGCAACTAACATAATGGAGGGATTTTTGCAGGCCGTTGTTACTTTTGAGTACTGTGCCTTTGGCATTTTCCACCACAGAAAATAGAGAGTAAAGTTGCATAAAAGAAGCTTAGTATCCAGACAATGTAGCATCATGGAAACAGGAGATTAAATTGGGATAGTTTTGGTAATGTTTGAAATAGCTGCCGAAGAATGACTTCTTGTATATTTTTTAACCTATTTTTATTTTATTCAAAACAGTTAAAATCAAGAAGGACAAAATACAGAACTCAAAATTAAAATTGAGAAGGACAAAAGGAAAAAGTCAAAACATTAAAAATATGCATCAAAAAGAAGACATTGTACATGTATTGTCCACTCTATTTGAATACTGATTAATATATTACTACAACATTAGTTCCCACCCTTTGCAAAACAAGCCCTCCAAAATATTTTAAACTACTAAATCTATTTGCACCTTGTTGACCTGTCTTCTATATGTTATATTAATGACCAAATAGTTACCAGGAAAAATAATATTAGTGAAAAAAAAAGAAAATTAGAGTTTCAAAACTCTCGGTTAAGAGATAGTTATTATAATCCACTTGTAGAAAATTTATCATGGCATCTTATTTATTCCATATCATCCCAAAAGTTATAAAATTGCCCTGAGTCAAATATCCATGTTTATTTCTTAGTATCATCTCTAGTCAATTGTTTAATTACATGTAGTAAATTCAGTCTTCAAAATACGTCTACCTTCTCATCAAAGTGCAGGCACAGATAATTGTCAATTATAATAAATAAATTTGTCCAGTCTCCCTCAGACTTCGTAAAGGTCTGAATCTGTCTCTTTCCTTTTTAGTCAAAGCCATAACGTTGAAATAATGTGTCTTCAGAACAAGCAGATGAAATCGGAACCGCAGATTAAATCCACTTTGCTGGTTCACCAGCTGTGAGGCTATCTCTTTGATCTGGAATTGAATGAAAGTCATTTTGTGTATCTTCATCCACATCCAAAGATAAATCTTCAAATCTTAACATTCTTTTAACAATCATTAAAGTTAGATCAAGTTTTTGAGAAAGGAATTCAGCTAAAAGCTGCACATCTCCCAACTCTCCTTTCTTAGATTTCAGAGACTCTTCAGCCATTGTAATCTGTGAAATTTAGCCAAAGAACAAAGAAAAGTATGTTTGCCTCTATATATCAATCCAAGATTATAAGAAAAGTTTAATGGAAATAAACTCAAGGTGTTTTGCAAATTCAAAAAATACAGAATCCAGTGGTGAGAGTCTAAGAACACTTAACCTCCACCCAAACATTACCATGCTTTCCACGTGGAAGGGACAGAAGTTATCCAAAACAATATATATCAAAAGGGGGAAAAAAGCAAAAGCAAAAAGAGTTCTGCAAGTGGTAGAGATAAACCAGGACCCAACTGTTAATCAACTTTTAAAGCAATAAACAAAATAAAACAGTGAAATCAAAAATTAAAAGATATAATTCCGGCATGCTTAGAAAACAAAATTGTTTGACAAGAAGATGGATGCGCCCAATGATTTTCAACTGCTTCCAGTGGGAATTGGAATCTTCAAGACCCTCCTTGCCGACTTGCCTACAGGGTCCACAATCGTCCAAAAGTCATCTTGGATCACTTCTAAGTGCTCCCATTCAAAACCAGGGAGCAGCACTGCCAAAGAACCAGCTTTAGCAGTGAAATCAGCAGATCATTGGTAAGATAAAAAAGAAACTCTTACCATATAGCAGCCATCTTAAAAGATGAGGGCCGACTTGTACTTGAGGCTATGATGCCTTTGCTATCCTGCCTTCCCTCATAATTGTTTGGACCCTTTTCTCTCGACGGGTTTTATTTTTTCCCCTGAATAAAATGTTTTATTATTATAAAACATTTTAAATAATATTAATTCAATATTAATATTTATATTGTATTAACATTTATATATTTAAATTACTATTTATATATTTTTATATTTTACATTTAGCATATGTAATATGTTAAATATATATTTACATTTATATTATATTAACATATTAATTTAATTTACATTAGTTTATATTAATAAAAAAATTCCCCCACTAAGGAGTTAACATAAGTGAAGTGAATGAAATTAAAGAAAGCTATAGGTTTGCTAAATGCAAGGCCTAAGTAACGAAAACTAGTTTGCTGCTCTTGCTAAAGAAAAAGTGGCTCAGGAGTAAAGATATTTTGGAAAAAGTGGCCAAGGCGAGTTAGAGGTGCAGACAGGTGAATCTTTTTACCTTTGTGAAAGTAGAAGCCTATTAGCCACTTTGAAGAAGGCATATGCGAGACAACGGGGGGAGGGTTCCCCTGCAGAAGGTGACAGCCTTCTCTGTTTCTTCCTCCCCCCCCCCATGGACAGGAAGAAGAAAGAAGAAAAAGGAAGAAGAGGAGGAGGAGACAGATGAAAATGGTCATCTAATTTTGTACAATATAAGGGCATGTAATATTCCATTCTATTGAAGAGAGATATGCAACTATCACTCAGTATAAAGCTTCTGTTTATAAGTCAACCCCCCTATTAAAAGAAGGGAAGTTAAATAGTTGGAGCACTTTCTGTGAATCAGCTGTGGCAGGATGCTGTGAAGGGAAACTCTAGACCCGTGATGGCGAACCTATGGCACGGGTGCCACAGGTGGCACACAGAGCCATATCTGTGGGCACACAAGCGTTGCCCTATCTCAGTCCAGCACGCATGTGCTGGCCAACTGATTTTTGGGCCTTCCGGGCCCACCGGAAGTCAGGAAATGGACTGTTTCCGGGCCTCTGGGGGAGTGGGGAAGGCTGTTTTCACTCTCCCCAGGCTCCTAGAAAGGCTCTGGAGCTTGGGGAGGGCAAAAAAATGGGCCTACTGAGCCCATCGTGCCATCGTGTGCCAAAAGCGGGGGGAGAGCGGGGGGGGGTCACGCGCGCATACGTGGGGGGATGGGGCACATTGAATTACGGGTGTGGGCATACGTGTGTGCAATCCCCCCATTACCCCCGCTTTTGGCACACAACAGCAAAAAGGTTAGCCATCACTGCTCTAGACTTCAAGTATAAATTGATTGCCTCTGTCCCTCTGTACTGAGCCACAGTCAAAAACTCAAAGTGGGGACTCGAAGAACTGAAAAATAAAGAGTGTTGATCCAGCCTCTGATCTTCCCCAATTATCTTCTGCTGGTACATGTTCTGCAAAGCTGGGATCCCTGGCTCAGGTTTCAGCAGCAAAAGAGTACACCTTTATTTGTTCAGTCAGGTACATAATATACTTTAGGCAAACACAAGCAATTGTCCTAACACACATAATGAACAAAGTGACCTGGAGATTAACTGTCACTTAGTGTAAAATCTCAAGTTTACTTACTGTAAATGGGATATTTTTTTCCTTTTGCCCAATAAGAAAATGTCAGCCCCTTAAACCCTGGGTAGCTCTGCTCCCACTTTTTGCTGTGGGACCTTTCTGTTACTGATGTGGTCCAAATAATTCCTTTATAAAAACCAATTATCTTTTTTCCTGCATATGTGGAATTTCCTTGAATGCCTGTATGTGGGATCTTTAACTCAGTGCCATAGGTACTAGGGTTGCAAACTGTTTGATTTTAATTTGAAATAAAATTGAAAACAAAGCTGGCATGCTGTCAAGCAAAGCATCATCCTCCAGAATTGCTTCTTTGGTCAGGAATGCCCACTGAATTCCACATTGGCCTTGTACTGGGCTTCCATGGGGATTAAAAATAGTGGATCACTCTACTCCAATGCTTGTAAACTTGCTCATTTATCCAGGAAAAAAAAAGATAAGGAAAATGGGAAATCAATTGAGTAGTCAGGATGATGTTACAGGAAGCAACTTCATAATTTTGTCTTGGTTAAATTCGTCTTTTGTGACTGGCCTTCTATGTTGGCAGCTATTCTACAAATTGGAAAGCTCTTATGTGGCAGTCATTGTTTGAATGCCCATCCCAGGCTCTTCAAACATCATAAATGCTCACTAATCCAAAACAGTTGGAGATCTTTGGCCTTATAATGTCATCTCTGTCTCTCTCTTCTTTCAGATCATTATCTGAAAGCCAAGTTCGATGCAATGCATTAGTTTGCACTGCATTCTGAAGTTTCACATAACTCCGGATAACTGAGGTAAACATAGGCATAAATTTTTGGAAGATTTTCAATCTCCATTTCTTCCCCTCATGCTTTTCTCCATTATATCTCTATTACACTTAGCATCCTAGTATTTGTCTAGGAAATTAAGGTGGACGATCTCGCTTTTACAATCCCTTTCTATCCGCATATGATGAGATGGTTTAGTCTGAGATCATATCTGATCCAGAAGCATCCAGTGGTCTTCATGGTCATGTGAAGATCTAAATCCAAATTTTCTAAATCCTAAATCCTAGGTAGCTTGATATTTTAATCATTGACCAATGCTATCTGACTTTGGTGAGGAACATCAAATGTGGCACGCCTCAGGATACCACATCTAGTGATTAGTTCATGAAAAAAACACATCTATTAATTAGTTCATTAAAAAAACAATCATACATCATACATAACTTCTATTAATACAGAGCCTTGTTTGGATAGCTAGGATTATTATTGAGGCAATGATAGATACTAGGTTTGGATGATATATTCATTATCATCTATTGTCTGGTAGCATAAATACTAGGATAGAGGCAAGGCAATTGTAATCCTTAAACTATATACATTGTGTAGTATACAGCAGCATGCCTACATCAGCTGTCCTTCAAATGTGTTGGACTATAACTCCCATCATTCTTATCTAAATATTGGCCGGAATAAAGTGAGTTGTAGTACAACCCATCTGAAAACCTCCCCATTGGGGAAGGCTAATATTTCAAGAGTCCAAACTGATTGCAGTTTTCTTTCTGGCACATGAATCTTTTCAAATCTGAATATGATGGAAAGGCTTGTAAATTTCTCTCAGTGACATCATCATCATCTTAATGTTTTCCCCCACAGGTGCAGGGTCCAACAAGCGCCACCTTGTGAGACCAAACATAGCATCTGGGTCTAACTGGGCATTTTTCATATCTGCATTTGCTGTATCTTGCAATCTTTGCTTTGGCTTTCCACGCGGGAACTTGTCATCTATATTTGGCATTACTCTCAGTGACATGCTTCAGGCAAAAATATTTCCTGGATGGGAGAAAGAAGGATTATGGCAGCAGTGAAAAACAGCTACATTGCCATGGCAGATAAAAAAAGTTTCTGACCTCCAAAAATGACTCATAGATGACTATATCTCCTTGGCATTTATTTTTATTTCCCTAACTGAATTACCCTCAGTAGCAACTGTAAGTCAACACCACCTTTTATTCATACTGTATTCATATCTGTATTCTGAATCCCATGAACAATTTGGAAATGAGTTTCCCATTAACTGGCTGAAACTGCTGGTTCCAAGGGGGACTCATGGTATGGGTTCCTCATTCGGATTAATAGAAGCCACTCATTCTCTCACCATGGCAGCGCAGCTAGATAAAGATCTTTATTATGTGCTAAGGTTAGGCAGTGGATTGCCCTCTGTCATCACAAAGGGGAAATCTTTGTTCTATGTGCTGCCGCTTAATTGCAGTATTTCTTTCCTGTCCTTAATGGACGTTCCATCCTTGTACTTCTCAGCTTTCAAACTAGGCAACTGTTGGATGGTGATATTACTGGCATTTTTTCATGGAGGAACTTGAGTGCCTAAGATAACTCTTTCATGTGGCAGGTCTGAGAGCGCCTAACATAACTCTTGCACAGGGCAGGTAGCTCAAGCATTTGCTCCTAGTGAAATCGGTATGAACTAAATACAGTATATCGCTAGTCTTACCTAAGGGGTTTGATAGGAGAACTGTCTGCATTTACATAAAATCTTCTCTCTCCTGCCTTCTCATCCTCAATAAACTTTCCCCAATTGGTACTTTCCAGATGTGTGAGTCAGTGGTGAAATCCAAATTTTTTTTATTACCGGTTCTGTGGGCATGGCTTGGTGGGCGTGGTGTGGCTTGGCTTGGTGGGCATGGCAAGGGAAAGATACTGCAAAATCTCCATTCCCGCCCCACTCCAGGGGAAGGATACTGCAAAATCCCCATTCCCTCCCCACTCCTGGGGGAAGGATATTGCAAAATCTCCATTCCCACCCCACTCTGGGGCCAACCAGAGGTGGTATTTGCCAGTTTTCCGAACTGCTCAAAATTTCCACTACCGGTTCTTCAGAACCTGTCATAACCTGCTGGATTTCACCCCTGGTGTGCGTGTATTGCAACTTCCATTTATCCTGAGCTAGCATAGCCAACTATCGTTGCATTCAGCCTGTGGCTCAATATATTTGGAAGAAAATGGTTTAAGGGAGATTGCCACAGAACTTGCTTATCCTATATGGAGACTTTAATGTGTAGCTTGCAATTTTTTTGCATAGTCTCTTCATAATATCTTAATCCTTACATCAAAAGAGAACATGTTTGGCTTTACATAAAACATGAACTTGACAGTATTGTATTTTATCCTGCTCAAGAACATTGAATATTTCCATGAACATTGAATATTTCCATGATAATAATAAAAAAAAGAGAGTAAAATCTGTATCTCATTAAAGCTTCATGTATATTGGGAAATCTTTGTTCTGGTTTTTTTCCTTAATTATTCCTGTTAGTGCTTACTTTTAGGAAAGTAAGTTGTGTCTAAATTTGTGCTATCATATTGCTTGCCTACTATCATTATTGACATATTTGTTTAACCAACTTCTTTTTTGAGGGAACGCTGGTGGTTTGAAATTTCACCTATTTTCATTCCCCCCCCCATCTCTTCCCCATCATTGAATTTTAGCTATCCCAGTGCAAGAATCCCAATGCCAAGCCGGGATTATAAAGGCTGGAGAATTCATGCCAAATATGGAGAGATATAGCCTTCTGAAATTGAGAAAAAAGATGAACTACTGGCTTACATAAAACCAGACTCAACTGGATAGAGAAGATGCCTAAAATGCAGGGGTCAGGAAGTTACTGTATTTTGTTTTTGAAATCTTGCCTTCTCCTTTTGAGAATCCTGAGAATTATCAATTCCATCAAGCCACACTTTCACAATCTTCCACAATATAAGTATCAGACAGAAGCAAAGAGGAATGTCTGGGTTTCTGATGATACATAGCTGCAGCAGCCCACGTCTAGTATCCCAATTTTTTTCTCCACCCATTATCTCTGCCTTCATATATTTGTTTTCTGATTTGATCCTTATTAATTCCCTTTTTATGACCAAGTCCCCTTAATATACTTTTGCTACTACTACTTGCCCACAGGGCAAGGCACTTGTTCATAAACAGAGAGCAAACCCATTCCCTTCTAGTATTGATGTTACCTATTTGGGTTGAGAAAACATCTGCAAGAAAACAACCAAGTTCAGAGAGCACTAAGTCACACATTTCTGTATCAATCCACTACCATCCATCACCCATTCATTCTTGACCCCATTTCCCCTGGTTTCATCATAACTACAAGTACATCACATCCCAGTACATTCACCTTAGTTTTTATGTTTCTCCTGACATAGTTTTCATGTATAAAAAAATGATAATATAATATTAATGCTAACATTACAATAAAAACAGCTTTCCCAGACATCTACCATTATTTTTTCAGAGCTCAGCATCACGTCTGTTAGTAGCTAAACGGAACCCAGTTCTCAATTCTTGAAAACTAAAATGTGTTAGTAGCTCTAAGCAAAATGTTAAAATGATTGTTGGTCTGGGAACATCCTGAAAAACGACAAAAGCAAGGTTTTTTTTGTTGTTTGTTTCTCCAAATATAACCAACTGAAATGCAACTAGAAATATAACTGGAAAGGTCAAAATCTAAAAATGCATTTCTGTATATCTTGGAAGGGATTCTGCTTAAATATCTGAATGTACCAATTCAAGGCATTCCGTTACTGCAAACTACATGAGAGTCTTTGTTTATGTTTTTTGTTGGTTTTGGTGTGTGTGTGCGCACGCGCGCACACACACACACACATACAGAGAGAGAGAGAGAGAGAGAGAGAGAGAGAGAGAGAGAGAGAGAGAGCGAGAGCGCTATAATAGGTCTTCTGTGAGCCTAGAGAGTACAGTACAGCACTTTGCATTGTAAAATTAAAACACAATATGCACTTTTGTAGACTTAAGATTCGGATGGGCAACTGTGGCCCATTTATGACCTGTGGACTTCAACGCCAAGAATTCTTGAGCCAGCCAGGAATTCTGGGAGTTGAAGTTCACAGGTCATAAAGGGGCCATAGTTCCCCACCCCTAACTTAAGGTAAAAAAAAAAAATGCAGAGCTCAGTTTTACAAAGAAATTTTTTGACTGGTAGTTCCTGCAGGACAACTCACTTCATGGATGAAACTGCCTGCTCCACTGAAGAGAAGGGCAAACTACTGTCCACACATGTCAGGGCTTTCACCATGTTGGCCAATCATTCACATTCAGAAACAGCTCCTGGGATTAGGATTTAACCAGCCTTCCATATTCTCCTTTGACTCCATTGGCCCCTTTCTCTCTTTAAGGGATAAGAGAGTGGCTTAGCAAGAGAAGCCTTCCAGTCCTGCCCCTGGTGCTTAAAGGCAACTCTTTCCTTTTGGCTAGCAAAGAGGCCCCTTTGGAGCTGTTTGCTTTTTGACAGCCGTAGCCAACGTGGGTTAAAAAAAAAAAAAAGCCATGCCCTGCAATTCTGTTGCTTGGAACAAATAATGATTCACGACAACAAAATCTGGACAAGTCATGAGGAGAATTCGCTTGGAAGTGGGGGCAAGATTTGTTTATTTAAAAAACAGACATTGCTTGTCTTAAGGGAAATGGAAACTGCACATGAAAAGCAGATGCCGGATGCCAATAGACGTGTTTGTTTTTAAAGCTCCAGTGCCAATTTTGAGCACTAAAGAATGCTGCTTTTTCAGTAGAGGAATTATTTCCATGTTTTTTTTTTAAAAAAAGGATTATTTTCCTGGTTTGTCCTTCAATTGCAACGGTGACCCTGTTTTGGACAGATGAGTTTTGCATGAGTTTTGCTTCTTTCACATATTAAATCTACTCAGCAAAGACACCCACATTGTGAGTTTTGGCCCATTTGCGAATCACAAGTGGCTCAGCAGGTGCTCTAACCATTAATGGGTGACCTCTTATGACCTTACTCAGAAGGGACTGGAACATGGTGGTAAAACTTGTGCTTTTTGGGCCAATGCCCCCCCCCTTTAAATATTAATCTTTCTAGGCAGGGTGAAAAAAATCCCATGAGCTGGTAATTGTCAGACTTGGAACAGAGCAACTTCCTGTATTTCTACTGCATAAGTCCATAGAGAGGAAGGTAGGCCTTGATTCTGATTTTGCATTTGAGACCATTAAAGGATCAGGGGGGTGAATAGTACAAGAGCTCATTATCTAACATGACATCTTGAATGGCCAAGTTTCATTTTTATGAAGTGAAGCATCGTATAATTACCTGCACCCACAATAGGTAATCCCTTGGATTTACATAGCCTACTAATCCATAGCGTGGGTTGAATTTGACTGAATGAATTGTGGTTTATTGTGGCTTAGAGTGATATATGAACAGAGCCATAAAACTGGCCTCCTTCGAGAAAAAAACATGAAAAAAGGGTAGCACTTACTCTTGAAGAGTATCTGGAAGCTACAGCTGGCACAGGATGCAGCCATGTGGACAGTTTTTAGGGCCTCTCGGGTGGCACATGTGACACCACTGTTGCGTGAGCTGCACTGATTGCCAATTTGCTTCTGGGTTGAATTCAAGGTGTTGGTTATTACCTTTAAAATTCTTTATGGCATTGAACCAAGTTTCTTAAGGAACTGTCTCACCCCAAAGGGACTGGCCTGCCTACCCATGCCAGCAGAAGGGGAATGTTGTCAACCACATTGGTCAAGGAATTCCTGCAGACCGGGTCCAGGAGAAGAGGATTTTCTATGGTGGATATGGTGTCTCACCACTCTCTCTCTCTCTCACACACACATAACGGTAGTTTAATGGGTTTATTAATATTTCCCAGCAGTTCCCTTCATCAAAACCCCAGAATTGTGCCCATTAAGTCCAGCCAAAAGCAGACCGATGCTAGTCCACAGAGCAACAGCCAATGAATCCACAAGACACTTGAAAGTTTCCCAAACAAGATAAAACCACCAGGCAAAATTAAATCCACAATACAAAAGGGTTCACAAGGCAAGAAAAGCCCAGAGTTCACAAGGCACAATCCAAGTCGAGGCACAGTGTCACTCAAAGCAAGGCAGGAATCACAACAACCAGGAAACAAGCAGCTAGGAAATGAACAAGTTTTTCCCAGCATCGCCTCCATCTGCTGTGCTAAATAGCCAGCTTCTGGTGCAGCCCATCAAGAAGGGCGAGGCTGCCTCCTCACAAATAATTGGGCTGACCTTCACTGCTCCTGCCTTTTTTCTGCCCTATGTGTTCCTGGATCAGGTGCAGAAGGATCAGGTGCAGAAGGCAGTTCCTCTTTATCATTATTGACCGGCAGCAGCTACATGCTTCCCCAAACCTCAAGGCTGTCCTGTTGCAGCTGTGCTTTAGCTAAACCACTCAGACAGCTGCTCAGAGCTGTTGACCAACTCCCCTCCAGAAGTGCCTGGAACTGGTACATCCTCCTCTGAGCTGGCATCTGGAGAGGAATTTGGGAAACCGTCTGGAGGAGTCATCACAGTGGATCTCATCATGTGGAACGTTGTGCCCCTTGAGGTGAGATCTGCACCCATCCTCTTAACTTTCT